TTTATCTGACGAACATATATGGTTTCGTCATCTTAAAATTCATATATAATGACGAAAAAGAGTTGTGTTATAGTTACAAAAAATTATTTGTCACCAGTGAAATATTTATAATGACGAACGAACATGTCACATAAATTATGTTTTAATGATGAAATATTCCTTGTCACCAATGAATAAATTAAAGGTGATGATATATTTAGTCATAGAAAGATTGTATTATATGACATTGTGTTTATCGTCACCAAATGCATATAAAAATGTAACGATATATTTTATCATGAAAAAGTAAAGTATATGACGCAAAAGACAATTGTCACGAAATATGTACTTGGAAGAAGTTTAGTGTGACAAAATATTAGTCATAAATAAGCCATTTTATTCTGCAAACGTGAATTTATATTTGACCATACGTTATGTCACGAAAGATTGCTTTTAGTAACCAATTAAAAATTATCACAAAAACTCATAATAATACTAATGACATAATATATTCGGTGAAATAAAAATAAATGAGTATATACAGAAGGAATTATATGAAATATTCATAATTAAAAACAAAAACAATAGTACTTGAAATATTAAGTAAAAAACACTAAATAAACACTTAAGAAACAATCTCCAAATCCATAGGCTTATTTTCTAGTTTTGCTGAAAAGTCTTGCAACATCTTGCAACATCCATTCACAAAAGAGAGCAATCACTTGTAAATATAAAACATATGAATCAGCACATATATTTACATTTATCAAAGCATATTTTCACAAAATAAAAAACGAACATCATTGTTTACATCCAATTTTTTACCTCAAGTATTTCCTTTGGAAGCCATGAATGTCTTAAGCTTTTCAATATCTACACCTTGTTGGAAGCCACTAACTTCTTCCTTGAGCTCACTCACTTGTGATTCTGATGCTTTTAGTTTTTCTCGAGTTTTCTGAAGCTCCTTGTCCTTTTGAAGGCTTTGGTTGGCTGGAGCAAAAATGCCTTTGTTCAACTGATTCGTTTGATAACCAAGTCCCTTCAGATAAGTAGATCTTGGACCAAGCACCTCGTGAACTATTTCTTAGTTCGTCTTATGAGCTCCTTCTACTATATATTTTTCTCGCCTCGATACCATCAACTCCTGATGGATAGCAAATATATATCATGCCTATCTAAAAAATAACAATACCAATACCAATATGAAAGTGTGAATTACCCAATTTTCTTTTGCCTCATTATTTGACCAACCATGTTTGTCAGTGGAATGTGTGAGTTTGTAGAACTCAATAATGTCCCCAGCATCTCCATTAACATCTCCATGAACATCTCCATTAGCATCTGCATTAGCAACATTTTTTTGAGCCTAGTCAAGAATAAAAATAAAAATAAAAGTAAAATGTACAGGACACGAACTTAACAAAATATTATGATTTTTTCTCCATTGCGTAATATGTAAATATTTTAAAACATAATTGCATTTTTGGAACTTACAATTTCATGTTGAAGTGTAGAAAAAGGAGTTCTGCCAGATATATGCGGGGTCCTTAACATTTGTCGATTCATAGAGTTAATTGAACTTTGATGCTGAAAACAAGAAATTGCAACATAAGAAATATTCCCAAAACATTTCAATAAGAGTACCAATCTCTAGATATTACCTTGAACTTAGCTGATGCAAAATAATCACAGAGTTCGTCCCAATTTTCTCTACTAGCACAAAATGGTGGCTTATTATTCTTAGCTTATCCCAAAACATGTAGGGTTGCATACTTCTTGTAATGCTGATTTAACCTGTAACGAATTTGTCGAGAACTAGATTTCATCCGATCAACCAAGCAGTGCCTCACACCCGGTGCATCCAAGTTGACATCCATATGAATCTGAACATCACATTTAACATATTTTTACATATACAAGAAAAAGAAAACATGTCATTTTATTCTTATTTTATAGTTACCTTTAAATGATCAATGCCTGGTTCCAAAAATTTTTCTTCAGCCATTTCTTTCCATTTTCTTGGCACTCGAAGGACATCTCGAGCTACTACACCAATTTGACTTGAGAGCTTTGCAGATTGCTCTTGACTTTTGGGCCGGCCTGTCGGTGGATCCACATATCTCTTCAATTTCTTTCCAGAGGCATCAAATGCTTTTATAAGTCCCTTACCCATTGTTTGACCACGTCTTCTCTTAGGGACGAAAGCTTTGCCTGGTAACAAAAAACATTACATTTCATTAATAGAGGACACATATACTATTATCAAAGAACATTACATTTTATTAGTAGGGACACATGTACTAATCCTGTAAGATAAAATTATTGCAATAAGTTAATATTGGAGATTAAAGATGGCTTCAGTTGATTAAGTATCTAAACTTTAGCTAAATTATTGCAATAAGTTACACACACATACACACAATTTACCACAAACTTCACAATCAAAAAACACAAAAACAAAAAAAATAAAGAAAAACAGCATATAGAAAATCTAGACTAGAAAGATTCTTCTTCTTCTTAACAGAGATATCTTCTCCCAAATTGAATTTAGAAAATAATAAGCACATTTTTTCCAACCATTAAAAAAAAGAAAAATAAATTAAAAGCCCTGACTAAAAAACTCCATTACTGCAAATTAGCAATAAATACTCTTCTCATTCATAAGGACACATTACATCTCTTTCCTTTTTCTTTATCCCTGTTCCATCATGATCTCATACTTCCATCAGTAAGACATCAAAGATGTCCAGAGTTTCCAACAACAACTATTCAACTATAATTGGAGCTACAGCAACAAAGTTCAACATAACGAAAATAACATAAACAACAAATATTCACTGAAAACAACAACTATTCCAACAGTTATCTTATCCCAAGTAAAAACATATTGCACCTCCAACTAGTTATCCTAAGTAAAAAACATATTGTACCTTTGACTGATTTATCCTGAAGGTTACCAGAGCCTTCAACATCATTCAAATTCTGATTTCGGTTGGAAGCTTCAAGGGTTTGTGGAATGCCACTCTCATTAGTGTTATTTGCTGTAGTATTATCACCTTCTGGAGAAGAACCATGAGTAGTTCGACTTGCTCCAGTCACTTCAACTCCAGCCGTTTCATTTCCAGCAGATGGCACATTTGATGACACATTTGATTGGTTAAGACGTTCTTTGACTCCAATACGAGACGACGCAGCAGTTGAGCTATCCTTGGCAGCTTGGTTAAGCATGCTTTGTAGAGAAGCTTTTGAAATAATTTTAGGTTTGCGAATTCCTGGCGCCATTCGTAGAAATCTACATAAGACAACAAATTTTTTTTAATAAAAATGCCTACTTGTTGGAAAAAGAACACATATAGTTAAATTAAGCAAACTCTAGCTACCATCATCTATTGAGAAAATAACACATGTAGAATTAATAACAAAATAAAAAATTACACCTTCAGTTGAAAAGTGAAGAAAAAAAAAAAGATGAAGAAACTCTAGTCTACCATCAGCTAGTCATGAAAAATGAAGAAAAAATCTGTAAAACACAAATTTAGGTTGAAAAGATGAAGAACTTCATCACCAGGAAATGATTAGAATCAGAAAATGAAAAAAAAAAAATATAGAATCAGAATATGAAACATAATATGAAACACAAATTCTACACCTTCAGCTATTATGATTATACAAAGACAAACTCAGAATATGAA